CTAGATGGGTGCAGACAGAAAACATTTATCTGTAAAGCTGCCTTCACAAGATTTACAGGATGTCTGTGAAAAGCCACGTGCAGACAGCCCCCTCTGGTCTTTCCCAAAAGTTAACACCAACAAAAACCCCAGCCCGTACGGCCGTCTCAGCTACTCAGCCAATGCTGCTGCCGCTGCTATAATGCAAAAGCCAAATTAGCTGCTGGGGAAAATCCCTTTTATTGACAAACGTACGTGGCGGTATTTTACTGGCTTTATTCTGAAGGTTGATATGAAAATCCAGGCAGGATTATGCTGATCCTCCATTTGTTTGTTTAAACCATAAAACTGCTTCCTAAGAGCTACGAACAACGGTTTAACGCAACGAGCTGCAAACAAGTTTGGCTCTACCTGGTAAGAGGTGCTACCATCCAGACCCTCTATTAAGCAGAATATTGCTACTTAAACGCCATTCCTGAAACGGAGAGAGGGAGTGCTGAATGCGCAGGAACAGGAAATTTCAAAATTGCACTAGGCATAAAAAAAAAAAAAAATTAAAAAAAAAAATCAAACAAGAACATGTTTTCTAGCAGGTCAGCCCATGGTTTTAACACTAACGACTACGTATCACACCATCTTCTAAATTAATAAAACACCAACATAAGAAGTATCAGTAATTTACATTTAAAAAAGGAGAAGAGCTAGTAGCTGTGTTTAAAACCTGAAGACTTGAACAAAAGCTATTAGACCAAGTGCAGGAGGTGACTGTATCCTTGGCAAAAAGCGTTGCCTCTCCCTGCCCAATACTTCCCTGAGAAATCCAAGCAGCATCTCAAAGACGGTACTTCTACGCATCCATGGGAAAGCACAACGGAGTAACCGCTAAGTGCTTGACTTTTGGTATTTCAAACACAATTTCTTTAAGTAAATCGCTTTCGTTTAAACAACCACGTGTAGCACGGTAGAGTTCAATGCGGCTCTAACAAAAAACTCAACAAGAGACTTCCAACCATTCTGCTGGCTTTCTGAAAAGCGCATACAATCTGCAAAATAAAAGGCCAAGCTTCCAGCTAAAGAAGAGATTTTAAACAATTACCAAAGCAGGATAGTGATATCATAAAGGCAATTTCTGCGCTAGCTTGTTTTCTGAAACTCTCTTTGCCTCTGAACAGCTAGAACAGATAATAACTATTAGTAAATCAAACTCCTGCAATATCCAGCTGTGTCTCACACATTTACATACAGATAGAATGGGTATATGTTTTTAATATGTATGCGATACGTACTTTTACCACAGCTGAAGTGCATGCTACAAAGGAGGAGGAGAATGGGAATGGAATCAGCATGAGATAATAAAGTGGCCTAGATAAAGTATTAGCCAGCGATTGATCTCAAACAGGGGATGTTGCTTCTCTCTGACCTGATTACTTACTATGCATAGATTCCATTAAATAGAGCTTAGAATGGAAAGCTTCGGAAAAATACCGTAAATACAGCCAGCCCTACAGCTTCCCGAGCCAAACCAGCCCGCAGATGCCTACCCACACACTCGGCGTGAGTGGGAACTTAAACCTTACCCGTGCCGCCACCTCACGCTCGCTAATTGTACACCTATGCCTGCATTTCCCTGGGAGCCAGCCTTGCCAGGCCAGGAAACCCCACGTTTTAAATGAAAACAGGAAGTTCACGGGGAAAAAAAACAACCATAATGTTTATACAGAAGAACGGTTGAGATTTTCCTTTTCTTGTTGGAAGGGGAGAGAAGAGAGACAGAGGAATACGCTGAGATGTTGTGCAGTCTTCCCTGGTGCTGAAAGAGGAGTACGTTCAACTGAATCGACTGCGTGCCCTTCTCTGAACAGAGAACAAACCGGAGACAAAAGGGCAGACACTGTAAGCACAAGGTTCAGAATAACCACCGGTGAATTATAAAGAATGTTCCTTTCCCTGGATGGACAATTTTCCCATTGCTTGGTGCAACCACTTTTTTTTCACTCCTGCGGATCAAGTCTGTTAATTTGAAACTCACTGAAAGAATTAAATCGTTGGTGACGTCGATGCAGAGAAACCGATGTTGTATCTTGGTCTGGGGGCGGGTGTGTGGAAGAAAGGGCGTAGCGACCGAGCGTAAACTTGTGCCAGCTGGTCTGGAAATCGAGTGTTCGCTTGCACAAGAATACCTACGGTACTAGAAAGCCTGACTTTATACAGGAATTTCATACAGCCTTGGCTTTGGCCCTATTTTCCGACAAAATGCGCCTAGTGACTTCTTTATAAAAGGGCTTCCTAACATGATAGACAGGGGAAAGCCATCCCTGATGTAACCCCGCGGCTTCACTGGAGTCGCCAATCTGGCACTCCAGGTATTGTGAGCCGGCCTCTTCAAGTGCATTTAACAACTCACTGATTATCAGGAGAGTAGAAAAAGATTGATGTTCTGCTCCTTTCATTTTGCTTTCAGTCTTTAATTATACTAAATTGGTTACAAAATAGTGACTTCCAGTATGGTTAATGTCCATAGGGGAGACAGCCTGCACTCCGCTGTCTTGTCTGAAGCAAACAATGATCACGTGTTACACCTTTCATCCTTGCTACTGTATTTCTTCCAAATAAATAAAAAACACCCCACGACACCAAAACCCTAATGAACAAGGTGAAATCCTGCCCTCCTTGACACTGATGGCAAGCCGACCTTGCCAAGTCCAGGGTTTCGCTGATAGTATCTGCATCCCCCTGCCCACGCCGACAGCTAACAGGGAGACAGCCATCGGAATGACAGGTTTCAGACATGGATGACGTGGAAGTAGAGGGATTTTGTGGTGAGCAATTCTAGAATTCTGAGGGTATTTAACTGCTTTTGTTCTGGCCCTGTTTTCCAACAAGGTATGGCAACATACGTACATACATGCGTACAGATACGCCGGGTGTATACGACAGACTTAGTACGCTAATGTATATAAACGTGGGTTTTCTAAATAAAGTGCTCCTTGACAAGACTGGGTAAGTGCAAGAACGCAAAGGGCTTGATGGGTGAGCAACTCCTGAGGTAACAGTGAGTCTGTTAAGAGGAAAGCACGGGGTGCTCGGAGCCCGTCAGGCTGGCGGAGGGAATTTAGGGCAGCTTAGGAGGGTCAGCCACTTTCAGGCAAGGACTGGGTCACTCCCGTGTTTCAGCAGCAGCCTACCTCACCCTTCAGTACTTGTTGTTGCAAGTTCATTTATAACCGAACAGAAAGTAGCGTGAGGGGCAAAATGCACGAAACAAAAGATTTTGTTTAAAAAGTAGGAAAGCTTCCTTTTTCTTTTTTTTTTTTTTTCTTCTCGAGCTGCTATAATTTTAAAATTATTTTACAAAATACCTCCTTAAAAGGCGACTAGCACACTCCAGGGCATGTAGTTGTAAAGATAAATCTGTGCACTTCCCTAGTACTGCAGGCACTCACCCTTTGGCCTCATTTTTATGACTCTACACCCTGGAGTGGTGTTATTGCTTACAAACATACATATATACTTATGGGGGTCTGTGCGATCTGCAGATGTTTTATTTATAAGTGGCAGGCCTATTGCATCACTGAAACATGCATTTACAAACAGATATAGGTTTTATGAAACCCTATTCCGTTGTTTTAATAGCTAAGCTATCCAGCCATAGCATAATAGTGCACAAGGTAAATGTGTCTACATCTCTAGAACCTGTTCCAAGTTTTCTCAGATGTGACTAACTGCAAGAATTTTCCAACCATCAAAAGTTAATAAAAAAGACAAAACACGGCAGCGTAAGCCTTTCGTACGAGACGCGCACCACCACAAAGCGGAGGAGCTCTGATAAACTTTAAGGCCTCGTTTTACCAAGGTATTTAAGCAGGTGCCTAACTTCAAGTGTAGATCTATTGGAGTTAATACCCTTAAAATTAGATTCACAGTTAAATACTTTACTAACCGCGATCTAAATTGAGACTAGTCTGGATTGTGAGATACCTGCCCCAGGGCATCTTCAGAGATTAGCCTTTAACTAGAGAATAGCTGCAACAGAAACACTTGGTTATTCTACTTGCACTTTGCAGCACGTAAGCAAGAAATGAGACGATGCAAACGTGTCCATAGCTTGTTAAAATTACTCCTAGATACTTAATGCACAGAAAATAAATTATGACGATTTTACATAAGTTACAGGAAACACAGCAGATAAAGGAAAGTAACGAAACGTTTAAAAATCAAAGATATTTGATGCGAGTCAGAGGGGACTGCAGCTCTCCTCTACAACGTAAGTTAGTGTAAATGTTTGTAACAATTGTTTGATATAGCATTTTTCCAGCCGCTTAAAAACAGTCAGAACAGCACTCTGCACGAAACGCACAGCCACAAGGGACCAGCCTGAGAGCAGGCACCCTATTATTGCCTTACTGAAAACGTGACAATTGCAAGCAAAAGCAGCAGCCTCTGAGCTCAGATTCCAGCACGGAGAGCCCTGCTACAGACAGACCCAAGCTACATATTAACTCGATCTTCTGTAGCCAATCTAATTTCATTTTACGCTAATATAAACGAAAACAGTGGCTCCTGCATTTCATTAACAATACACTATTTTGACCGTATGCTCTGTTTTCACTCTTCAGGTTTTGAAAGGTTAAGGCTGGCAAGTGACGACAAAGAGCGACCTACATTGAGCCGTAATCCCTGGGCATACAAACTGAAAAAACTGTGTATTAAGAATCAAAACGATTTTGACTGAAACTTGATACTGGCTGTGAAAGTCCTGTATTAACTCCCCAAATCACAAGCGAAGCTTTGGCCACAAGGAAGGTAACAGCAAAACACCCACCAACTTCAGTGGGATCATAATTCTGCCTTTGGTTTGCGTGCTCTCTGTAAACACGTCGCTGCTGCACCAGCCAGAGTTTAGATTGAGATTTGTACATACTGAAAAATGCAGGAAAAAAAAAGGATACGCGAACATGGATACAAGAACAAAAATTATTCGCAGACAAATACGTACTGAGGGGCTCTGAAGTTTCACTTACCATTAGATCTTCAGGCGCTGGCCTTTCCTTTGGTTGCTTTTTCATGCTATGTGTCATAAAACAAAATGTTCATATATAAACAACTGCTCAGTTATTCTACTTGCTTAAATACTGAAGATATTCTCTTTTAACACAGAGTGAAGAATTTCAACGTATTTCTTAACTTCACCACGTGCCGACGGAGGACAGGGCTCCTAACGGCGGCCGAAACCGTAATGGGTTTCCTCCTTCCCTCCCTTACGGGCCGTAGTGGTCTACGCTGTCTGTAACCATGGAAGTGTGTAAATCTAGAGATCATTGCAAACCTTCAGCTCAGAAGGCACAGTAAGTTGATTCTCATTTTGCCAGGGATTATTACATAGCTCCACACAAAGTATGATACAAACAGGTGGGAAATTTCACTCTAACACTAAACAGCTTCAGGAGAACGCACAATACCCTGGGGTTTCTACCTTAATTTTTTCACATTTATTTCCATTACACTGCAGGGTGATAGTTCATTACACAGCATTAACCTGTTTATAAGATCATGTTTCTCATCCAAATAGTCCTAGTTTTCCGTGCAACAGGTGCAATTAGCTATTGAAGGCTGTGCTTAGCTGCATGAAGGAACACAATAACGTGGCACAGAGGTGACCATCAGGAGCTGCCTACTGACTAATTGGATTACATCCAAACAGCCCGCGTTTATGGCGTAATTGGCATAAAGTCATAAAGTCTGATACGCCGTTCACTTGTCATCTCTAATACTTACTATGAATTGACGGCTTATACATACAGCTGCTTCTTATCTGCCCTTTTTTAAACAGTAGTGCCTCCCACTCAAAAGCACAGCCAATGTAACACTGCATCTAAAAGACCAGACGACCTGTAAATCGGGGGTATTAACAATACAATTTACCTTCCCTACAAATAACTACAAGCACCTCAGATAACGCGGGCATTAGCACGTAACAGCAAGCTGTCTGACGAGTAGGTTGGTAGCGGTTCTAATCTGACAGTCCAAAGTAGCTGCGTCCCCAGGGAAAACAAGGCTATTAGGCACCATCAGTTATGCTTCAGTTTGACATCTGTGGAAATTTTAACACAGGTTATCCCTCCCTCTGCCTCAATGAGAATTTTTTTTTGGTTTTTTTTTGTTTGTGTTTTTTTTCTTTTTTAAAAACAGTCTGCCATCGATTTTTTTTGCAAGGATAAAAAGCGCAGACCTCCACACACATCAGGTGCGCCGCAGAACCCTCCGAACGGCGCTGCTCTTTGTAAACTGAAACTATTGAAAACGGAGGCCTATGTTACACAAACTTTAATTATTTAGTTACTTTAATTAACCGATAATCAGACTGCTTTTCGTGTCCGCGTTATTTGCTACACACTACGTCAGCCCTGAGAGGTGCTTTCTCCTACGTTACGCACCCAAAATCCAATTTTCTTAGGCGACTTTCGCTGCAGCGGCCCTGGCACGCAGCAGAGAACCTGGAAGCCCGACCTACAGACCTGCGTGGGGCTGAGGAGGGCTTCGAGGAGGACTCCCCGCGGCAGCAGGGTTCCCTCTCGGCCCCGCGGCTGCGGCTCGCGGCGGCACACCCCGAGACGGCTCCGTCTGATTTAGCACAGCTGAGTGTCCAGCCCTGCGAGTGCGTGTTTGCAGAAGGGATGCTTCTCCCTCAACCTCATCGCGGTTTTAGGGAATTCAAGCTTGTTTCTCCTGCCATGAACGGCTGGCCCGCTCGTTTGTTTTGGGGGTCGGGGGGGGATGCGACAGTTAAAGATTTTTTTCCCTTCACTTTGTTTCTTTGCAATAACTTACCCTCAGGATTTTTATTCCCTAGTCACTCAAGGACTGTATTCTTTATTCTACAAATTCCTCCACTCCCCAATTCTCCTTTCATTTTAAAAGGTTTTCAATGAACTATTCACACCTAAGGAAAGAAAATACACCCAGCGGTGTGTTTTCAAATACGGCCCTCAGTAAAAATTACTTACTGAAAAGCCAATGAACGAATCGAGGCTGTGTGCCTTTTTTAAATATCGAGGCATTTTTATAAGTAATATTTTAAAAAGCCCTGAATAATGGCATTATACACACGAGTCTTCGTGGCCTCTTTACCCCCAGATGAATTCTTAGGAGCCTCGGTGCACGAGACTGCACCCACATTCAGGGCAGGTTTATTAAAACGGGAAAAAAAACCTTGTAAGTACTTTTACGACCCTTTGTGTAAATAACGTTTACATAATTTAAACAGTTTGCTTAGCTTTGCTGCCCCATCTGCCCAAGGCCCCCAAGTCCCTCTTCTCTCAGAAAGGATGCAAGGAAAGCCATAAGGTCTCGCCGAGCTGCAGAGTTAATGGCATGTATCATTTACAAAGAGGGCATGGCATGTTTGCAAACTGAGCTTACCATTGAGTGATGAAGTGTACAAATGGCTCAGAGAACTCCCCGGCTGGAAGGACGGGCGATTCCTGGGATTGGATTGAAACAAGAGGCAGAGTCAGAAGGAGAGGAGATAATTTTTTTTTTTTTTTTTTTTTTTTAAAAGCA